GGGCGTGTTCATTAGAGAGGGCGTATTCTCTCTCCAATCAAGGCTACGTATAACATCATTCGAATGCGTTTGCTTTTATGCATTTGTCGTGTTTATTTTTCATGCACTTAAATGCATTTGTTAACGTTCTTTTACTGCTGAAAACAACGTTCTTTTTTCTTACAAACGAGTAAAAGCACAGTATTTATAATGCATTTTTTTTGTCAGCGTTCTCTTCGTCGAAGCCACATCACCAAAATTTGATGATTTGCATTTCAGCGGTGTGACTATCGACAATGTCTATTTTCGACGACCTTCATTTCAATGATCGAAGCCATCAACGATATTCTGACATCATACCTGCAATGTATATATGAATATCTATGATATTTATTTAGAAAGAGTAAAAGTAAAGAACGATCATCGGAATGAAACTCACGCACATAGATGATCGAAAAGCATTCGGCGATCTTTCTTTCGGTATTGTTTGTTTCGGCATGACTTTCGATGATTTCAGTTTTCGGTAATGAGATGCACAACTGTTTGTTTATCACCATAACAATGTTGTACTCAAATTGCAGCCCAGCTTTAATTTTTTCATTGTTGACTTCTTGTATTGGCCGCCAAGAAAGTTTAGTTGCTTTGCTCACAATAAAAATTCAACTATTACTATAGCCTATTTATTCAACGAAACAGACACTTTAACATGCATAGTTTTTCGTTCTCTCCAAACGCAATTTATGACTAATACCAATAACAACCGTCTTTTATTTTTATATGTCTTATTATGTTCTGTTTCTTCAGCAATGGAATTGATGCATTGCAAAAATCTTTATCTATTCCACTTTTCTTTTTGTTTCCTAACTGTAGCTGATGATCTTATAGTGCTATAATGAAATTGAATCGAAAAAAAATCAGACATATGCAGTACTTTCATATGATGAGTATCTTTACAGAAATCATTGCTTTTTTCTACTTGTAAATTAAAAAGTTCAATCGATGTGCATCTACCACGATGACCAATCGTACGCCAGATATAACCAAGCAACAAAAAAAAAGCATTAAATACTTATCGTGATCCACAAAATATCTACATATTTTTCCTAGTAACCGAAAGTATATTCAATCAATAACAATTAAAACCAGAACCCACTTGACCAAGCTAAATATTCAAATCCTCACACAGCATATGAACATTGAAAAATAAAAAGATATCACTATACACGCAAAGTCAAACATTCATTTAGTCTTTATAACGGCAGCTGCACTAAGCAGCAGCAAAAGCACTGAATATCTGCTACTTTCGATGTACACACTGTTTTGTATTTTGAGTCAAATTTACGAAACATTACTTTTTTTAATATTTCAATCACTTTTTCAAAATCTCAGAGGAAGAAAATCCATTTTTCGCTTATCCTCTTTTTTGATCATTGAAAAGACACATTCCTCCACCAAAAAAAATCTCTGCCTTCTTTTTTTTGTTTTTTTCTTATACTTTATACAACTTCATTATCGTATATTTTCATATAATCAGTTAACCAAAAAAGATACTGTACAAACACACGTAAGAAGTACCAAAATAGCGCAAAGAAAACTTCTGTTTTGGATATCGCTGAGAAAGACAGCATCGATCATAGGTCATGCATAAGTGCTAGTCACTCATAATGGAGGTATGTGTGTTGATAAGTGAAAAGATGGCACATATTCGAGTCAAATGAAAGCTCTCATCACCAAACTAACAAGGCTAAAATATTAGCGGCCCTTGGCTTGTCTAGAGGGAGATATTCGATTTTTATTGTATTTATAGTATATGTAGGATGTCCATAATTGAAAATTTCAGTGGGATTTATTTTTCTTTTTTCATGATGGTTGGATAGAACTCATCCAGTTGCATTAGAAAAACTATATTTCAAATTTTAAAAAGAGATTTTAAAAAATTTTTTGCATAGAATCGGAATTTTGGATCTATTTTTCCTTATATCAATATATTTTATATAGATAACGTCAATTTACAAGGAGGAGTCGAAACTTTTGAAACAACTTTACTTTCTAATGAATTCTTTATTATGTGATAATAAAAATGTTTATATGAATTAGATAGTTGATTCATAAAATAATTGAAAGATTATCAATATCTTGTTTTTCTTTTGGTAGTTGTTTAATAAGTTTTACTATATGTACATGAAAACTTTGTTTTAACTATAGTTAACACGTAATTCGCTATTAACAAAATTCTTATTTAATAATATTTTCTAGATCAAACCTTTTAACATTTGTATGGACTAAGTCAAGCAACAATGGAATGAATATGTATCATCTGATGAAAAAATTAAAAAATTATAAAGTTTTTTTTTCCTTATTTTAGTTTTAACATTTGATAAGAATGAGTAGGTGTAAGTAATATATGTATTTAGTTTTATTTTAATTTTTTCGTGCATATATTATTAATATATTATTATAGCATAGAAATTACTTGTATCGATCATTTATCGAATGAAATTGTTTATGAAATATTTGATTATTTTGATCAATGTTATATTTCCGATACATTTTCAAATCTTAATATACATTTTAAACATTTAATTCTTTATTCACTATTGCCAATTAAATATTTATCACACCATACCGACAAATCATACATTTTGCTTTCTTTTCTACTACACATGATTTGATGCATCATTCAATCGTTTTGAATCTCTTGTTCTTTATAGAATTCAATGTGATATTGTAATATCATTTCTTCCGAATTTAATTATTTTACCTTGTCTATTCTCATTGAAAATTGATCTTAATGATTAATGAAGACTTTTTTCGAATCCTTATGGTCTATTTTTTTCGTTTCTAACGATTCATAAGGAACATTCAGGTAAGAGAGTGCTAGAGTTTGGCGGTTCCAAAAAACTAGAACAGCATTGGAACCATTAAAAAAATATACTTTGAAGCTGTTAAATCATCAAATAGATATCAAAAGTTTTAAATCTATGTCGAGAAATTAAGAATTTTCGTCAATAACCGATTTTTGAAAAGATTCTACTGGCCGAAAGAGACATTGTATAAACCTGAAACCTTTATTGTACATTCAACTCTATGAATTCTAGCTCCAATGAAAATTTCAAACTTTTATCTTCTTCTTGCTATTAAATATGAAGCTCTCAAGTTGTCTCAATTGTGAATTTTTGACTATATTGGATGATTCATAAAAAAAACCTAAGGATTCAATATGTACAAATGGATCATTTCTTTATCAATAGAACTCATTGATATATATGTGTACAAAAACTTTCATCTCAATCGGCCGAGTCATTCTTGAGATATGGTCTGATCAAGATCCCCTCAGCCAATATGTTTATTTCTAGGACTTTCATAAAATGTTCATAAAAAATCGAGAGTTTAATTACGTGGACTAACTTTCATATATACGAGTGAAAAGAGTCTAGGAGAGAGCTAAGAAAAAGAAGACAAAAAGAAAAAAATGTTGGAATTTCGTTTCCTTTATCTCATTTCTGGTCTAGTCTACAATAAGCGTGAGAAAGAGAACACCAACTTCCAGATTGAACAGACCAACGAGTACATTTATGGAAAGACCAATGCACATCAAATCTGTTGTCTAGAAATAAATTCAATCTATAAGATAAAAATTTCATAAAGACAAAAAAATAGACAAGATAGACCGGTCAAGTGACCTGTTTGAGGCTCTAGGAAGGAGGTAAACTAATGTGATCTTTATGTGGACGTTCTTTACTGATGGCTCCATGTCTTTACTAAAATATAACAAAATTTTAGTAATTAGAAAATTTTCACCTATTTTACAACTATATTAAAACTGATGAGTACAGTCCTATTGAACATCTATTCAGTTATTGCTTTAGTTTTTGTCAGATCATTGAAAAATTTTATCGTATGATTTTATTAGATATGATGACTTTAAGATTGGCATATAAATTCTGCTAAGATCATACACATATACAATTTTCATACGATTTTCTATGATCCTAAAGCATCATCCTACAATACAGTAAGTTTCTATATAATCTTGTAAGAATCGTATGTACAAAATCTTATTCAATCTAACTAAAGCAATAGAGTTTGCGCTGGTATCTTTGCGACAATTAGTGTTTATCAAGTTCTATTTATGATTAAAATTTCAAAGCAAACAAAATATTCCTATTTTGATAGTTTTTTGTCTTGCTGCAAGACAATTTTTATTTATCGAATTTTGAAACAAAACATATTAAAATAACATGAATATTTTTTTTTTAAATTTATACATTTACATATCATTATTTCTCGTTATCAAATAATAGAAGAACGAAGCGCCTTCTTCAACAATCATAAACAATTATTAAATAATTTTTTTTTCCCAAATATTTATTAGCTTTTTTCCAACATCCATCTGCTCATAATTAATGAATAAAATTCTCATGAACTTTTCATATCTACATATGTGTTTAGTAAAGATTATTTCAAAGTAAGAATCAGCATATTTGTCTATTGTTTACAATCATCTACCGTTCATCTCACTCACTACACATCATTAAAAATCTCCTGTTCGCCTCTTATTCATCGGGTTAATTTCAATAGTACGATATTCATAAATAAAATTAGCGGCTCGATCGATGGTAAGACGAAGTAAAAATCTTAAAATGAACCATTCATTGTTCGTTCCAGAGATGGACGAGTCAGCAAAAAAGTTGCACCGTCACCGCCCCGTCCCGCTCCGTTGATAAAGTTCCGCACCGCCACCGCCCCGCCTGTTCAGCGTTGAAACCGTCACCGTCCCGCCTGTTCAGCGTTGAAACCGTCACCGCCCCGCCTGTTCAGCGTTGAAACCGTCACCGCCCGCCTGTTCAGCGTTGAAACCGTCATCGCCCTGTCCAAAATGTTTTCAAAAACTGTTTCTCGACAAATTTTTCCTTAAACTTTCATAACGACTATTTTATTTCATGAGATGAAAAGGCATATTTTAAATGCATAAACATCATTTCGAAATAGAAAAATAAATAAACATGAAAATGAAAAGCAATTATAATAAAATCACTCATTTTGTGAAACTCACTTATATTGCCGAAGAAAATAGTAAGTACATGTTTTAAGTTTGAGGTTTGACGGGTCCCCCTCCCCTCTCCCCATTCCATTATAGACACATAACAACCGAAAAGAGAACATTACAGATATATCTCAATTACAGACATACCCCCCATTACAGACAATCCACTATTACAGACCTCAGCAACCGTGCATAAAAGGCTCTAGTTTTTATATAATATATCAATTATTTCATGCGTATTCGAAAAAAAAGTATTTTACAATTTAAAAATTAGGCATCAGGATAAAAAACTTTGAAAATATACGTGGGTTCCACATTTTAGCTCCTTTGGAGCTACACTAACAAGCTTCTTTTTACTGATTAGTTTTGTGTGAAAAAGTTTTAAAAATTTTTAAAAGATGCCTCTAAAGATCTGAGTATATTTAAAAAATGAAGGTTATACAAAGGCGGGGAAACCGCGACTCGTCCATCTCTGGTGTATATAGTCTCTAATATGGTTTCATTTAAGTACTGAAATATGTGGTGTCTTTAATCTTAATAATTCCATAATGAAAATTTCTCAAAATAGATTTTAAGTTGTTTCCGCTCTGCGTGCTATTTTGGAAACCGAATTAGAGCCATCAAACTCTAGAAGGGTGGAAGTAGTCAAACATTTCTGGACCTCTAATTACTTTCTATAAATATCTTCCTTTTCTTTTATACAACTTTCGACAAAATTTTTAAGAGCATTTTCAGATAAAAAATGAACTGCATAAATCGTGTTGAATATAAATATGACGTTGAAATAATTGAAGATGCTACATGCATAGGTAGCCATTTTCTGGAGAAGTATCATTGGTATTTCTTCTGTTCATTAAAATTGAATGTATTTTTAAAAGATTTACAATAGATTATATTTGTGTATGTTGTTTATGAAACGTGTTTATTGATTTCTATTTTTGGTACATTTAGTTAATAAAAAGGAAATGGTATATTTGAATAAGAAGACTCTTTTTAGTTTATAATTGATGTTAAGGAGGGGCAGGGAGTTGATGAAACTGAACAGACAAGAGAGAAGGAGGGAAACTAGTGTGATTTTTACCTCGATGTCCTTTATTGATGGTCCCTTGCGTTTGCTGAAATATAACAAAATTCCAGCAATTAGATATTTTTCATCTATTTAACAATCATATAAAACCGATGAATACAGTTCTATTGAACATCTACTTAGTTATTGATTAAGAATGTGTCATCCATGAATTAGTTATGACTCTTTCGTGTACACTAAGACTTAGCCAATTAACTTGTAAGTGCTTAAATTGAAATAGTTCAATAAAAAGAGAGATACCAAGAAATATTTTCAATTTGAAATATTTCTCAATAAATGTGTGTTATTTAAAATTTGTTGAATTTGAAATATTCATTTTAAAAAAATCATTTTTTTATATTCAAGTTTCATACAATCTTGTAAGAATCGTACAAGATTTTATAATAGAACTGTTTGATCTGAGTATATCTATTTTCTAGCTTGGCATAACATCACATAAAAAACCTTGTTAGTGTGATTTTATCTCAGTTTAACTAATGCCACAGAGCTTGAACTGGTGCTTGCAACGATTAGTGCTCATCGAGTTCTATTTATGATCAAGATTTCAAAGCAAACAAAACATTCCTATTTCAAGAGGTTTTTGTCTTGCTGCAAGACAATTTTTATTTATCGGAGTTTGAAATAAAAACATATTCAATAACATGAATATTTTTTTTTGAAATTTATACATTTAAATGTCATTATTTCTCATTATTGAATAATAGGAAAACGTAACACCTTCTTCAACGATCATAAACAATTATTGAATATTTTTATTTTTTTTCAAATATTCATTAGGTTTTCTTCAACTTCCATTTATTTATAATCAACGAATAAAATTCTCAAGAACTTTTCATGCCTACATATTTGTCAAACATATAAATATATATACATCAATAATTTTTTCGTTCAAGTATTTCAATTGATCATGGCATAAACGATTGATAGGTATTTACTAAATTGTATCTGAAAGAAAAACAAGGCATAAAAGTTGTACTTTTGTTAAAGATTATTTCAAACAAGTCAATATATTTTATGATATCCTATGATATAATAGTCTGGATGGGTATGTGGGTGTGAGTGAGAATCAACATGTGTGTTGTTTACTATCATCTATCTGTCATCCATCTCACCCAACGCACGTTCCTTCATTGAAAAAACCATATCTTCAGAATGAACGTCTTTGTCTTTTAATCTTACCAGTCTCTCAAATATGTCCCTTTCAGCAGCCCATACTTCCTACTATGTTGGAAAAAAGGTTTGATAACAATGAGAACAACATTTATTTTATTATGGCCTTTCGATTTTTCTTTTTTTTTTTCGATGACGATGCATTCATTTCATTGTTGATTTTTGATACAGACTCACATCTTGTGCACTCTTGAAATGAAAGATAAGAAATCCTTCAGTAATAAATCATACACACACGTATAACAACCGACCATAAAAAAAGTATCAACAAAAGGAAGAAACAAACTCTGCCTAAGAAGACGAATGAGTTTCTTCTCATCTCCTGTATCCGGTAAGTACTCATTTATTCATTGCTCTATCTCATTACCATTCGACCACGACTATTCGTTTATTGCTTACAGTGTGGATGTGGGTGAAAAGGAGCCAACACCCATACCCATCTACCATACGGATGATACAACAAGTGTTCATTCAACAGATCTTCGTTTGAAATTCAATGGTACCGCTTCCATATTTCAGAACAAAGCATATATACCAAATTGTATTCCTTCATAAAAACATTGTCGTTACAATGTTTTACTGTCATACTCTTTGAAAAATCGCGAAATTTTATTCAAAAATTTGATGCTAGCAGATTCTTCCACTGTATCATTATAATGAATTGCATGATCTTAGTATGAGTATGGGTGGAATTAATATACTCACATCCACCGCTTTCCTTTTGAAGTCAGGCTACCTCCTTGAGTATCAACAAAAATATATATATATTGATAATTGAGGAAAAAAAATCGTCGTCAAAGAAATTTTTTTTAAATAAGGAAGCTTTGTCGTTGAATAGCAGCCATTCATCCATGATTTCAGATTCACACATAATAATACACATAATTTGTTCACATTATGTACCATCAATCAAACAATATGGATCGTGATGCATCATCAGTAGGGTCGAATTCTTCCAACAGTAATCACTCATTATCGCGCTCTACGTTAAATCAGAGTTCACAAGACTCAAATCGCATTCCGAAACGAGATCATCGCACTGATACAAATGACATTGTCCAAAATTTTCTTTTAATTTGGCTTGACGCAAAAGTCGATCAATCCAGCGATGACTATCTCAATTCTATCAAACAACTACGACAAATAGTCAATACTATTGAAATATTTCGTGATACAGATGAATGTATCGATTATATTTCAGATCTTGAAAATGAAAAGACATTTCTCATTATATCCGATGCTTTATGTCAAACAGTTGTGCCACTCATTCATAACATGACACAACTGAATTCAATTTATGTCTTTTGTCAGAAACAAGAACTGTATGACGAATGGAGAAAATGTTGGTTCAAAGTGAAAGGTATTTACACCGAAATTACTTCAATTTGTGACTCAGTTCGACAATCCGCTCAACAATGTGATGAAGATTCAGTCTTGATTAGTGCTGTATCGTCGTCATTAAATCAAATAGAACCATCATTTATGTATACAAAACTTTTCAAAGAAATAATTCTTGAAATCAATTTCGATGAAAAGAAAGAAATCAATGCTTTAGCCGATTATGCCCGCGAGAAGTATGTCGGCAATGACAGACACTTGAAAATTATCGATGAATTCGCTCGAGACTATCAAGGTAATTTGGATGGAAATAACAAGCCTATTTGGTGGTACACTCGAAATTGTTTCACGTATCAGATGCTCAACAAAGCACTGCGTGCTCTGCAAGTCGAAACTCTACTCAAAATGAGCATCTTCATTCGAGATCTTCATCGAAACATCGAGAAACTTTATTCGGAGCAATCCAATGAAATTCATGGTGCAAAACCGACAATTACAGTCTACCGAGGTCAAGCCATGATCAAAGAAGATTTTGAAAATAAAATCAAACAAGGTGGATTGATTTCGTTCAATAATTTCTTATCAACAAGTGATGATCGAAAGGTAGCCATTCGTTTTCTTCCGAAAGGACCTCAGTCCACTGACCAGAACACAATTGGTGTTCTCTTCGAAATAACTATTAATCCATCGATTTCATCGGCTCCATTTGCCCGCATCCACCAATTTAGTTATTTCAAGACAGAAAAAGAGATTCTCTTTTCAATGCATACGGCTTTTCGTGTCCAACAAATCAAAGAAATACAAGAAGGTGAAATGACCATATGGCAAGTTAAACTTACACTCACTAGTGACAGTGACGACCAACAACTTAATGCTCTTACCCGACGAATGCGAGAGGATATCATTGGAACAGGATGGGCACGAATGGGTTTATTGTTATGGAAACTGGGTGAAAATGACAAAGCAGAAAAGGTGTACACGATGTTACTCGAACATGTATCCGACGAAAGTGATAGAGCCATTTGCTATAATAACCTTGGAGCGTTCAAAGTCAGCCAAGGAAAATACAATGAGGCTGTTAAGTTTTATGAAAAATCACTCAATATCAAAGAAAAAACTCTCCCTCCGAATCATCCCAACTTGGCCAGTTCCTACAACAACATCGGAGGGGCGTATAATAGCATGGGCGAGTACTCGAAAGCACTTGCATCGTATGAGCGATCACTTGAAATCCAAAAAATAGCTCTTCCCCCGAATCATCCCGACTTGGCTGGTTCCTACAACAACATCGGTTTGGTATACTCTCATATGGGCGAGTACTCGAAAGCACTTGCATCGTTTGGACGATCGCTTGAAATCCGAAAAATAACTCTCCCTCCGAATCATCCCGACTTGGCTTCTTCCTACGACAGCATCGGTTTGCTGTATTCTCATATGGGCGAGTACTCGAAAGCACTTTCATCGTATGAACGATCACTTGAAATCCGAAAAATAGCTCTCCCTCCGAATCATCCCGACTTGGCTGGTTCCTACAACAGCATCGGTTCGGTGTATTATGACATGGGCGAGTACTCGAAAGCACTTGCATCGTTTGAACGATCACTTGAAATCCGAAAAATAACTCTCCCTCCGAATCATCCCTCCTTTGCTTATTCCTACAACAGCATCGGTTTGCTGTATTCTCATATGGGCGAGTACTCGAAAGCACTTTCATCGCTTGAACGATCACTTGAAATCCAAAAAATACCTCTTCCTCCGAATCATCCCTCCTTTGCTTATTCCTACAACAACATCGGTTTGGTGTATTATGACATGGGCGAGTACTCGAAAGCACTTTCATCGTTTGAACGATCACTTGAAATCCGAAAAATAGCTCTCACTCCAAGTCATCCCGACTTGGCTGCTTCCTACAACAACATCGGTAGTCTGTATGGAAACATGGGCGAGTACTCGAAAGCACTTGCATCGTTTGAACGGTCACTTGAAATCCAAAAAATAGCTCTTCCTCCGAATCATCCCTCCTTGGCTTCTTCCTACAACAACATCGGTTTGGTGTATAATGACATGGGCGAGTACTCGAAAGCACTTTCATCGCTTGAACGATCACTTGAAATCCAAAAAATAGCTCTTCCTCCGAATCATCCCTCCTTTGCTTATTCCTACAACAACATCGGCATAGTGTATAGAAACATGGGCGAGTACTCGAAAGCACTTCAATATTACGAAAAAGCTCAAGACATCTGGAAAAAATCATTACCTTCAAATCATCCATATATGGCAGTTGTGAAAAGAAACATTGATAATGTAAAAAAGAGAATGTAATGGTTTTTTTTAAACGAGAAAATAAATTCGCCTTCTTGAACACTTGGCTCGTCTTACCACACTAGCTGCAAAAATTTCGTGCACGCACGAATAAGGATACCCTTCGTATTCTGTTCGGTTGTACAGTGGACAGAGCCGACAATAGTTAAGCAAACGTATATCTATAATATGTATGACTAGTACATCCATGATCATCATCTTCAGAAAGATGATGACGAGATGGATGCTTCTAGTCATGCATACGTAGGTGTGTGTTATGAAAGCCTACCATCTGCACGCCTGTACACGTTACCAACAGAACGTCGGATATCCCTGACAAGGTTCATCTGATTTAGAGCCACCCCGAAAGCTCAGTCAGTTTAAATTTGTTTGTTCTTCTGTTAGGAAGAACGAGACGAAGAAGCAGAAATGGAAGGAAGAAGGGCTAAGACACAGAGACGTGAGAAAGGCGACGTCGACGTTACGGAATGATAATATGCAGTGCACGATAACAACCAGTGTGTATGTGTTGAATGATGAGAATTTGAGCGTGCGACATGTTTATTATCTATAAACATTTGATGTTCAATTTTTTTCTTTGTTCATGCCGAATGTGTAACGACAACTTGGATGTCGTGCACTCGATACCGAAATAAACAAACGATGACCGAACGAAAGGAAAGATACAAGAAATAAGATTGTGTTATTTTTGAGTAATAATTTATCTCTAGAAACTATTAGAATATAGATAAAAAAATACAGGGAAAATTTAAAATATAATTTTGTTTTAAAAATTAGAAAAAAACTTATTCTGTATTTTTAGTAATATATTCAGTTATATCTCTTGAATTATGATACTTTACAGATTCTATGAATGTTTGGTTATATTAATGAAATATCAATTTAACTATTTTCGACAAAGAAATATTTATTGATAAAAATAATAGGATGCAAACAAAAAATAAAGATATATATATATACAATATGTATTCGATAGTAGAAAAACATATTTCATATTAGATCATCGAAGAGAAATTTTCTTGTACAACTACCATGATAACAGATATACTAAACGATGGATAAACAATTGAAAAAAAAGAAAACATTGAATGAATTGTAAAAAATCAAATACCTACAATGACGTTCTAATGAAGTATATCAAATGCAGTACATATATCAAGATTTAATTGTTGGATTCTATGGAAAAGTTTTATATATCAGCAAAAACATAACATGAAGATACATAGATTTTTCAGTATTTTTTTAAAAATATGCTTTGTATTTTTTATGCTTTTCGTAACTTCATACGAGAAGATAGTAAAACAAAAAAACTCGAACAACGTTTCGTTTTGCTGATGACTTTTATATTCTTTCCCGTGACATTGAATGTTGCCTTGAATCTGAAAGGATACATAGAGAATTTTAATGTTAAAAGAACATTGTTTAACTAATTCAAGTATAGTATAAATCACATTTAATATATTATAAACATCATAAACAAGAATAATACATTGATGATCAAGTTCATACAAAATATTAGATATTTGCAAATCGATCAGATAT